TAACACCAACATCGGAGACCAGGGAAGCAGGTGTGGTGGTTCCTATCTCCATTAGGTTCACCTGCCCGGCCTTTGTGAAAACAAATTAATAAGGACCGTGGGTGACAGACTGCAGCAAACCTGAAGACGCAGCAGGGCCTGTGAGAGCTGCCATGCCGCGAGTGGTCTTTTTGCCACAGCAGATCAACGTAGCCTCTGCAGCTGGTGTGTGACTAGCATCTTGGCAAAGTCTTTCTTCTCCATATCCTCACTTGGGAGGGTCAGAAGCAGTTCATCTTCACCAGCAGACAGCAGCGCTCCTTCCCTGCCCCGTCTCAGGGCTGTGGCTGCTCCTGGGCTTTCTGGTGGGCGGAATAATGTCTCCCAAAGACGTCCGCCTCCTGCCCCCTGGAACTTGTGAATACTTGAGGTGATGCAGCAAAAAGGGAATGGAGATTGCAGATGAATTAAGGTTGCTCATCGGCTGACCTTAGGCCAGGAAGACCATCCCAGATTACCCGGGGAGATCCTATGCAATCACGAGGGTCTGTAAAATAGGAAGAGGAGCCAGACCTGATGGTTCAAGCCTGCAATCCCAGCTACTTTGGAGGCCAAGGCAGGAGGATGGCTCGGGCCTAGGATTTCGAGACCAGCCTGGGCAACATAGCAAGATGCTGTCTCAAAAAAACAAAGAAAAGAAAGAAAAAAAAAGAGAGAGAGAAAAGCTGGCTAATGGAAGCAGATGAATGGCTGGCCCAGATGTTAAATTTAGCATAAAAGAGCTTTAAATAGGTATTGTAAGTATATTAAGGTAAATATGAATGAAATGGACACAAATATGGATAATTTTCAAAAAGGAACTAAAATTTATTAGAAGCAAATCCAGCGGCCGGGAGCAGTGGCTCACGCCTGTAATCCCAGCACTTTGGGAGGCCGAGGCGGGCGGATCACAAGGTTAAGAGATCGAGACCATCCTCGCCAACATGGTGAAACCCTGTCTCTAAAAATACAAAAATTAGCCGGGTGTGGTGGCATGCGCCTGTAGTCCCAGCTACTCAGGAGGCTGAGGCAGAATTGCCTGAACCTGGGAGGTGGAGGCTGCAGTGAGCCAACCCCCAGTGCACTCCAGCCTGGCAACAGAGGGAAACTCCATCTCAAAAAAAAAGAAAAAGAATCCATTGGGTATTCAGAAACTAAAAACTACAACATATGAAACTAATGTTTCTGATCTCATTTATCTGTAAATGGCAGTGTAATTATTCATATGACAAAATGATCTTTTAAAATATACACTATAAAACAGATGTTTCAGTCACTTCTGAAGCAGGCTTCACGGCCTGGTGTTAAATGTCCTGCCAGACCTACAAAAGTTCAGCTTAAAGAACACACCCAAGACGATGCATTTCCAAGTGCAATCGTAATTCTACTGAGCAAATGAAGAGGGGCCGTATGTCTAAATGCTAAACAAAGACGCAGTCTCAAGGTTTTCCATCTTAACAGCAAAATCCAGACTGGAAGACTCAAGTCAAACAGCCCAAGTCCAAAGATGAAAAAAGATGGAGAAAAACCTATAGTGACACTGAAAGAGGCTTGCCAGACATGGGAGCACACACCTGTAGTCCCAGCTACTCAGGCTGAGGCGGGAGGATCACTTGAGCCCAAGAGGTGGAGGCTGCAGTGAGCTAGGGTTACGCCTGGGAATAGTCCCTGAACTCCAGCCTGGGCAAGACAGCTGACCCCGTCTCAAAAAAACAAAACAAAACATTAAAAAACCCAAACCAAAAACAGTTTGGAAGAGGGAGGCAGAAGTGGAGAGCCAGAGGGAAGGAAACCTGCAGCACGGCTGGCTTTCCTCGACGTCAGCCTGCCAAGGCCGTGCCTGGTGGCCACCCTGCAGAGCTGGTAGATGTGGCGGCTGCTATAGCGGCAAGGGGACACAGGCACAGGAACCCCCATCTCCTGGGCATCTCAATGGTCCCAGGAGTTCTGGGGGGTGGGGGATAAAGCACCTGGTGAAGGGGTCCATAGATCTAGGCTGTGCCAGGACACCACAGGGCAAAAGACAGATTCTGGCACCTGTGCCTCCATCCAGCAAGAAAGACCCCATGCTCGGCAGGCCCCTTAGCACCGTGGCAGCAGCACAGGCCATGTTTGGGGTCACTGCCCCACCCGCTGACTGAGAGACCCAGAGGCTCGCCGTCCCCAGTGTGGCCCAGGGCTGCTGGCTACGGTGAAAGTTGCCGGGCTGCTTGGACCACACTGTCTGTCCCGAGGATCCGGTGTGCAGGAGGTAGGGTGGGTGTGGAGCCTCCGGAAGGCCCCTGTGGAGCCTCCCACAGGTTTCTGGGGCTCTGGGGCCCAGCCACACCTTCCTAGTGGAGGCTATTCTTCTTTTGGAAAGCAGCTCCTGGAATGCTGCCTTCCCAGGCTGGGTTTCCCTGCTCCACAGTCACGCCCTTGGGCAGCCCAGCAGCCAACTACTGCGTGGTGGAAACGGTGTTTGCGGGCCCAGCCCAGACGACACAGGTGAGTCCCCGGGCCCATCGCATTTGCCCCCTTTTGCAGCACAGATGCCGCCTGGGGAGGGCACCAATACAGAGGAAAGGCTGGGAAAGGCTCCCACACGCTGGCATCAACTCCAGCCTCACCTCCCCCGCACTCTGCAGTCCCATGCAGGGAGGTCCTGGGGGGCAGCAGCGAGGGACAGCCCCCCGGGGGCACCTGATCACCCACTTCCTGTGTATCACTAACTCCGAACACCAGTGAGGGCTGGGGCTGGCTCTCCAGGGCCCCAGACAGTGGTGATGCGGAGAGTTGGAAAAGGCTGGGGGATGGGTCTGTGAGGAGCAGGGAAAGCCAAGCTCAGGGGGAGGCTCTGCATCCTGCAGGGACGCCCCTAGAGAGAGTCGGCCACGGCGGGGCACAGACAGGCAGGTGGACATCATGATCACACCATGGACAGCAGCCAGCAGGCCCTGGGGCAGAGTGGCATGGGGGCAGGAATGGTGGCTACACCAACAGCATGAGCTCCTTTTCCAAGACTGATCTAGAGCAAGTCCCACCCACGCAGAACAAGCCCTCTTTACAGATCATCAGACATGTGGGGAGAGCGGGGCTGCAGGCCGAGAGGAGGAGGCTGGGGACGGCGTGCTCTGTCTGGATGGACTTCCTGGAATAGCCTCCGAGTGCAAAAATAGCGTGTCCATGTGATGGCGACCAGGTGTCCCCGAAGCACAGAAAGCGCTGAGTCAGCAGCATGGACTCCTCCGAAGGCACGTGAGCTGGGTGGCCACGGCTGTGGGCTGAAGCCTCGCACATCCTCAACACTAAGTGCCCAGCCCTGAGCCTACCGTCTGGAGGCAGGGCAGTCTCACTTGACACCTGCTGCTCTGAAGGGGACACAGCCTGTTCTGGCTGAAATAGACTTCCTAGCAGATGTGGAGAATCCCCCTTGCCAACCCCACCTATGCAGTCCCAGCACCCCCAGCAGCCCTGCTTCTGAGCCGGAAACCCACTTTGTAGCAAAAAGAGGCACCATGGCAGGGGTCATGGAGCTCCCTGTGTCTTGGTGTCACTTTCTCCAGGTGCGGGCTCCTGATGGGAAGCCCTGAGGCTCAGTGCAGCCAGGATGCAGCTCCTGGCCCTGTGGCCTCCAGTCTGAGTTTCCCTCGACCAGATGAAGCTCCCTGGTCCTGTCTGCCCCACACCCCGCAGAGCAGAGCGAGTGAGGCAGGGCTGTACTGGAGGAAGGCTAGGAGTCCACCTCAAACTACAGAAAGCAAAATGAGGGCGTCCCTGCCTTTCCCTGACACCGAGAGCAGAAGAGCAGCCTCTTGGTTTCCCACCAGGAGCCTGCCCCTGGAGAAAATGACACCAAGACACAGGAACGATTGGAGATGATCCTGGGCAGAGCCCCAGTGCTGGCCTTCAGTGACAGAAGGGACATCCTCCCCAGATTTTCCTAAGGTCTGACCTTGCCTGTGTTCCCTGCTTCCTCTCACAGCCGCCTCTTGCCAAGGTCAAATCCCCAGCTACTGAACAGGCTCCACTGCTTACATCCCACGGGTCCTTTCGCGGCGGTGCTTCCGCGCACCTGTGGCTCTTATCAAACAACTGCCACTACTTCCGTCCTCAGGACAGGGTTGAGCTCCTTATCCTGGCACCTGGGGCGCGGTGTGAGGGGGTACACAGGCAATCAGGCGATGGGCGGTGCCGGGCCTGAGCTGGGGGGCACAGCTGGCTGTTGGTGCCAGGCCTTCATCTATCTGGACGCTGCAGCCAGCATGGCCCATGCCCAGCAGGGGCGTCAGGGTCAGACCTGATGTGGGCCGCGAGGCCCTATGGGCTCCGTGGAAAGGAGCCCAGGGAAGAGCAGGCGGAACCGTGGGTGAAGTAGGCCCGCGGCACCAGCGCAGAAGCAGGAGGGCGGGCAGTCGCGAGGACAGAATGAGCAGTGAAGAAGGCGGCGGGCGCGTGGAAGCCGACGAGTTCGCGTTGGGAGGCGCTGCTGAGCCTCAGGGCGGTTCCGGGCCCGGCACAAGGTTTGAGCGGCCGACCCAGTCGGGAGCAGCGCAGGGTGGGAGCTGCGGAGCCTAAGAAGGCGGTCTGGCCCGAGGCGACGGTGCGGTGTCCCGTTTCCTGCCACCGGAGGGCGGCGCGCGCTGGGCGGGCACGATGTGGTGGACCCGCGATGAAGGCGGACCCGGGATGGAGGCGGCCCCGACCCCCGCGAGGGCGAGTGGCGCAAGGCTGGGTCTTCCCGAGAGGCTACGCACCCGGGCGGCGGGCGAGAGCCGGGCGCGGCGGGAGGGGCTTGGGCGTGTCGCGGGTCTGCGCCGAGCACTCACAGGTGAGGGTACACGCGCATACACACCCGTGCACGCACCTGCACACGCGCACAAGCACACGTGTATATGACATGCAAGCGCGCGCCCACACCGAGCGTGTCCCGGCCCAGGGCAGCCCCCTGCCAACAGCCCACCCGCTCAACCCCAGCGGGCGCGGGACGCGCGGGCTCTCACCTGGAGGGGCCTGTGGGCTCTCAGCCGGCGCCGGCTCCCTTGCCTGCCGGCCCGCTTTCCTCTGCGGCGGGCGGTTCTCACCGGGCTTCCCTAGGGGAAAAGGACCGTCAATGAGCTTGGGGTGAGAGGCCCCCATACCCATCAGTCTCAAGAGACACTTATGGGGCACCAAAAGGGCCGTGTATCCTGACAGATAGGGAGCACCCCACCCGGGCCTCCTCCCGAGGGAGGCACACGGACAACCTCAAGGAGCACGGGCTCCTCCAGCAGCACATACTCCACTGCACAGCGGGCCTCAAGGAGGCACAGGCGAGAGCCAGCCAGCAGGAACGCACCCAAGCTCTTGTGGGCCAAGAATAGGCAGGTTGCATCTCTGCTAAAAGGACCCTGTGGGCTGGCAGTGCTGCCTGCTGGCCCTGCCCCACCCCTTACATTGTCCACCACCTTGTGCCACATCCCTCCCCCAGGCCCTTCCCGTCTCTGTGTGTCCAATTCGGCACTCCCCTGGCAGGTGGCTGTCCCTCTGCTCCTGAGCTTCTGGGGCTAGGACTGAAGAGGAGCGGGAGCACTGCTCCAGGCAGGGTTGGGCCAGGCAAACCAGTCGGGCCAGTGTGACTGAACCGGCTGGGATGGGGCCCTGGGCGTGGGTGTGAGTCAGCGGCCCCCGGGCTGGGGAAACGCTAGGGAGGAGGCCACCTGGAGCCCACCCTCCCAACAGGAAGCCCAGAAGACGCTGGTGTTTGGGGCTAGCCCTGTACCCCCACCTCCGGCCCCAAGACCCAAAGGCAGCTCTGGTCCAGTCAGGCCCTTGTTGCAGTGTGCAGGACAGCCAGCCCCCAGGCAGGATGGCACCAAGAGTCCCGGCCCCACCTCCATGACCGCCAGGACTTTTCTTTGGGCCCCACATCCGTTCACAAAGTGCCATGCGGGCCTTTGAGGACCCAGTCTCTCCCGTCAGCCACAGTGCAGTGGCCCAAACCCTGCCCTCGCTCCCACTGTGTCCCTGGGCCCTTTGTCTCCACCCAACACCACGGGCAAGCCCAAACCCCAGCGGTGCTCCTGGGAGCTGCTCTGGAGCCCTCCGGAGTGCGCGGGCTGGGGGTTCCCATGGTCAGCTGGGCTCAAGTTGTCTGTGGCCAGGGAGGGTCTGGGCCCCGAGGGTCAGTGCGGCCAGGATGCAGTTCCCTCAACCAGCTGTGGGACTGGGGGTGAGGCGGGGGCGGGGGGCATTGGTGCCGCCCAGGGCAGGACCAGGCACGCCCGTTGCTGTGCACAGCCGGCGCTCTGGCTGCGGCGCTGCCTCCTCCAGCTTCTCAGCCTCCCTCCCAGTCTCGCCAGCAGGGCCTGCGGCCTGTAAAACCCCGTGCCGCCGTGTCAGCGCGTTAGTCAGCCTCAGCCCAGGCGAGCCACCACGCCGCGGAGTCCCTATAAACTCCCTGGTGTGGCCCAGCCCCACCGAGTGGGGTCAGTGAGGCCCACAGGCAGAGCCAGAGTCCCGAGCTGCGGTGCTGCGGGCACCAGCCAAGGGGCAGGACCTGGAACAGGGGGCCGAGCCTGGCGTGGGAGCACACAGCCACTGTGGCCTCCAGGGACGCCCTCTGAGCTGGCCTGAGGCCGGCCAGTCGATGAGCCAGGGCCCCTGGGGAGCAGACACCTGGTGAAGGAGACGCTGGATCCAGGGCCATGTCTGGGAAACGAGGTCGAGTTCGCAAACACCGGGCCAGGAGGGCAGGCAGGGCCCAGCCGGCAGCTGGGCAGCAGGGCCCTGAGGTCGAGCCCCCGCCCCTCACCCCAGGGGGCCCTCAGGGTGATGCGGGGGTGGCCCCTACAGGGCACGTGACCAGCATCGAGCCAGCACCTCAGGGACACCCCAGGGTGGCCAGGCCAGAGCAGCCACAGGCAGCCTCGAGGCCGGTGCCGGCTGCTGCTCCAGGGTCTGAGCTGGTGCTGGTTCTCACTGGGCACATGGAAGGCTGTGGAGCAGGGGGCCCCATGCCGGCCCTGGGCCCTGAACTGCTGAGGCTCCATGAGGTCCAGCTTTGCCTGGCCCAGGAGCAGCTGCTGCTGGAGGACCGGTGGAGGCAGGTCCAGCTGCAGATGCAGCTGTGGCGGGAGGAGCAGCTGTGGCTGCAGCAGCTACAGGAGGAGCAGCTGTGGCTGCAGCAGCTGCAGGAGGAGCAGGCCTGGGTGCACGTGGAGGGGCTGCAGCTGGCCATGGCCCTGGAGCAGCTCCGGAGTGAGGGCCTCGAAGCACTGCAGACCCAAGGCCAGGTAAGGCCTGGATGGGGTGGCGGGGAGGGGACCCCGGACCCTTGTGTTGGTGCGATGGCCACTCCAGCAACCTAGGGATGCCTGTGGAGGGCCAGGAAGCCAGGCTGGATGCAGGGCATCTGTGGGCCCATTTTCACATCTGCCAAGTGAAGCCCGTGCCCGCCACGCAGGGCACTGCAAGACCAAGGGACAGCAAGCCTGCCCAGGCTGGCCCAACGCTTGGTGGAAATGGGCACTGAGGGCAGATACTTGTTCAGGGACAGAGGTGTCCCTGCAGCAGACCCAGGTATGCTGGGCCAGAGCTGTCCAGGGCAGTGTATGGGCTGCGGTGCAGGGCCAAGGCCTGGGGGTGCAGTCAGTAGGTAGCAGAACTGAAGAGCACAGCCCCCACCCACGCAACCCAGTTTCCTGGCCGGCCTGCTGGTCCGCCTGCCCTGCCCCGTTTATTGGAGTGTAGTGTACTCAGGGCTAGAGACTGCGGAAGCAGCATGCGGCGCCTGTGCCCATTATCCTCATTCCAGGAGGGCTGCTGGCCTCAGACGCAGCTGGGGCTATTTTGGGGAACTAGCATCTAACCCCAGCCTGGTGTGGAGGAGTGGTCACCATCATCCCACCTGCTCCTGTGAATCTGGGAGCTCTCTGGCATCCAGGGGTGTTAGGCCAGGCCCACTCTAAGCAGAGGGGCAGTCTGGGGAGCAGTCTGGGGTACTCTCTTAGTAATCACAGACCCCAGCGCAGGCCTGGGTGCTGAAGGACCCCAGATCTGCAGCCTGGAATGTGTTCACAGCCAGCACAGAGAATAAATGGGAGTTGGGGCAAGAGAGTGACAACAGTGAAGGCGGGGTCGGGGGGGATCTGGGGGAAGTCCCCTTCCTGACCCACAGGAAAACCCAGCCCAGGTGAGTTGTCACCATCCAACCTGGAAGTGACTACGGAGAAGGTGACTGGGAGCAAAGCGGCAGGCAGAGGGCAGCACAGGACGGCCAGATGCAGCAGAGTCAGAGCAGAACACATATTTAGACTGAGAATCCCCAACTTGGACTCAAGCCCTCCTGTTTCAAAACCCATTTTTGGCCACCTAGGCCCCTCCCACTGGCTCCTGCCTCCTTCCCATCCCCCAAAACTGGGCTTCTCTGAGCGCTACCCCCAGGCCCCTACCCCAACCCCAGGGGTATAAGATTAAGGCTGGGCCAGGCACGGTGGCTGAAGCCTGTAATCCCAGCACTTTGGGAGGCTGAGGTGGGCGGATCACCTGAGGTCAGGAATTCGAGACCAGCCTGGCCAACATGGCGAAACCCCTTCTCTACTAAAACAAAAATACAAAAATTAGCAGGGCGTGGTGGCACACATCCATAATCCCAGCTACTCAGGAGGCCGAAGCAGAAGAATCACTTGAACCCAGGAGGTGGAGGTTGCACTGAGTCGGGATTGCACTCGACTGGGCGACAAGAGCGAGACTCCGGCTCAAAAAAAAAAAAAAAGATTCAGACTCAAGGCCTGAGATGAATGAATGAACCCTCAGTCAGTCACACCTAATCCCAACTCAGAGATCCCCTGAGAGCCACTCTTGGAAGAAGGGCTCTCCTCAGAGGGGGTGTCTCTCAGTGGTTACACAGAAGGTCTCACAGGTCAGTGTTTGGATGACAGTGCCCTGGAGGTCAGAGGGTGCACTCACCATCAGTGGCTCTCGGCTTGGGCCCAGGGTGGAGCGTCTGCCACTTCCCAGCTGCAGCTTTGGGTCCCCCCTTCTTACTGTGCATTCTCCTGGGGGGTGGGTAGGGAAGGACCAGGGAGGGGGTGCTCAGAGTGGCAGAGGGCAGGGACGGCGGCAGTGGGGAACAGGACACACCACGGGGGCCTGAGTGGATAACAGCAGGAACATGGGCTCCCCCAAGTCTTCCCAGCTAGTGTCCTGTCTGCCTGCCCGCCCCAGGTGTGTGCCCAGAAGCTTGAGCCGGGATGCCTGGCAAGAGCACTTGGCCACATCCCATCCCCCCGGCTGTGGCTTGCCTGCCCCTCCACCCCAGGCTCAGCTCATCCTGCCAGGCCCAGGATCTGGAGTCCAGCACTCTTCTCACTGCCCCAAGGTGCTGGGTTGCCAGTGGGACGGTCTTTGTTCTCACCGTAAGCATGAGCACGGCCCTCTCTGCTGAGGCCTCCATGCCTCTCCACTGCCCTGGGAACCCAGCCCACCCATGAGCCTGCTCCCCAGCCCACCCAAGGCACTCACCCCTCCACGCCCTCAGACCCTATGTGGTCCCGGCCTTGGCAGATGGTGTTGTCAGGTCCTGGAGTAATACCCCTCTCCCTAGTCCACACAGCTGACCCCCAAGTTCATTTCCCTGGGAGGCTCCTCCTGCCTGCTTTGGCCTGTCGGGGTCCTCCCTGGTGCCCCATGCCCCTCACCCGCTGCAGCACAGTTGCCTGGGCACTGGTCTGACCCCCCACCCATGTTTCCAGCATACTGGTACCAGTGGGGTGTCACTGAGTGTCTGGGGAAAGAACAAATGAAACTGGGAGTGACCCTGAAAACAGAAAATAGGATCACATGGCAAGAGGGACAAAGAGAAAGGTGACTGATACCATCAGAAAGCGTTCAGGCAGGGCCAGTCCTTGGGGTGGGAGTGGCAGGGGTGAAGGGTGGTGGTTTGGACAGGTAATCCAGTGCAGGGCAGGGCCTAAGTGGGGGGAGAGGCCCTAAGTGAGGGCCTGAGGGGGATTTGGGGGTACTGGAGCACCCAGGGGCAGCTCGGGGTAGTGTGTGGGGGTTGCTGTGTTCATGCGGGGGCGTCTGGTATGTGAGGCTTGGTGTGCACACTGGGTCCCTTGTCCGTGTTGGGGCTTGGTTTTCGCGGGGTCCCCGAGTGTACACCCAGGGTTCTATATGTGTGAGGGAGGTCCCCTGGTCTCTCAGAGTCAGTGTGAATATGGCATCCCTGTTTGTGTGTGGGATCGGTGTCTGAGGGATCTCATATGCAGGTGGGGTTCCCTACGTGTGCGGACGTCAGCGTGTTTGTGGGTGACTGAAGTGGACAGGACCGGGTGTGCTTGTTGGGTTCTGTCTTCCTGAGGAGTCTCCTGTGCTTGGGGGGTTGGTGCACACGAGGGACAGGTCATTCGGGGTCCGCATGTGCATTGGGGGTCACTGCAGCAGAGTCCCCTACAAGTGTGGGCATCGATGTGAAGGGATGAGGGAGAAAGATGGGGAACCCCAGGTACTTGTGGGCATCAGTGTGTGTGTGTGGTGGGGGTCGGGGCCTGCGGGTCCTCTGTCGGGCGGGATCCCCTCTACATGTGGGACGCTGGTGGGCGTTGGGAGAACCGTGGTGGTGGAATCAGGATCACCTGTGCATAATTTTCCGAGGCTAACCCAGACCCGGAACCACACGACCCGAGGGACTACAGACGCCGCACCAGCGCCTCACCCGCCGCACACTGCCCACTCAACAACTACGGCGAAGGTATCAGAGCTCCGCCCCTTGCGGGGGCTGGCTCGTTTCCTAGTCGACTGAGCCGGAACTTCCGTAGGGTCACCCCAATTCCGGGGCGAGGGTCAGGGGTAGGCTAGGAACTCTGAGCCTGGAGAGTCAACACCCAGTTGGGCTCCGTGGGGTGAGGCTTTGAAGTGGGGGCCTCACGGTCTCCGGCGCGCTGGCCGGGGTGTTTGCGGGCACGTGGCCCGCAGGCGCACGGGCTGGTCGGGGCGAGGGTCGGGCGCGGGCCGGGGGCGCGGGCCGGGGCGGCGGCGGGGGCCGCGGGCGGGCGCGGGGCGCAGGAATGCGGCGCGCCGCGGGTGGGGCGTCTCCGCCCCAGGTGTGCCCGGGCAGGCAAGGAGTGCAGGAGCGACGGGCGGGGGCGGGCGGCGCGGTGAATCAGGCCGGGCGGGCCCGCGGCAGGGAGTGGCTCCGGACCGACCGGACCGCGAGGCGCTGGCGGCGGTCGGCTCTGCTCCTGTGCCGAGACCGCACGCGCACCTGGCAGTTAGGGCCCTCCCCCGGACCGGCGGGGCGAGGGCGGGGCGGGCGCCCCTCGGTTGCGGTTCCCACCTGGGCTACCTCGCGCCCCACCCTGGGCCGGGCCACGGCGCGATCCAGAAGGCCGGGGCGGTGGAGTGGAGCGCGGCCGCGTGCGCGGGGCCGGCGGCGGCGGCGGTCAGCTCGGACAGGGGGCGCCGCTGTGCGCGGATATGGACGCGAGCGCCCTCGCACGACCGGCAGCCCGAGAAGAGCCGAGTGGGAAGCGGCCGGGATCTGGGTCGAGCCTGCCTGGCGTCCGACTCGCTGCTGCCCTCGCGGCCTAGCTGGAGTCTGGGTGCTGGGCACGGCCTGGACCCTCACTGGGGACGCCCTGGGCCACTGTGGACTGGAGTGGCCAGGGGCGGCCTGGATCCCGCGTGGCAAGCAGGCGAGTGAGGGAGGGCTGCCCGTAGCGCCCATGTTCCAGGCTGGGGTGGGTGGATGGGGCACCCAGCCGCCGCAGCCGCGAGCTCGCAGGGTGCACTGACCCCGTTGGGGGCTGGGGTGCCCACCCCGCAAGCTATCACTGAGCGACTTCCGGTCTGTGAGCCCTGTCCTCCGCACTCCACCTTTCCGCCGCCTAGAGCCTCCGCGCCCTCCTGGGCCCATCGGAACTTGGCACAGGCTCACCCCACTTTGTGTAGGATCTCCGGATCCTTCCATGGGGTCCTCCTTCCAGATACTCAGGAACCCCACTTCCTGCCAGGGTGGAGAGGATGGGGTCCTTGAAGGCCAGCTAAGGGCCCTGACTTCGAGTCAGAGGTCAGGGGTCAGCAGCAGAAGAGTGGATTCGTGCTGAGTCATTGGCCATGGGTGGGTTCCGTGCCCTCCCTCCCTTGGGCAGGTGTTTGGTAGGCAAATGTGTGGGCATGCAGGCCACTGGGGTGCTCCATCTCAGGCTTGGGAGTGTCTGCGGCCCTGTCCATAGCCCGGCAGACACGTACCCATGAAAGGACACGATGTGAGGAATGAAGCCATTGGAGGTCTGGGCATCACCCTGTGATGATGAGGGGTGTCTGCTGGGAGGGCTCCTGGCAACGGGGGATTCCACAGTCCAGATGATCCCTGCCCCCATTACACACAGCCTGGAGCCTGGATGCTGTGTGTATATCCCTCCCCTGTGAAATCCGAAGGGACAGTGGGGGTCCTTTCTAGAGTGTCCCCCAGCGTCAGGAAGTGCCCTCAAACAAGGTTAGCAGGGTTGTTCCCCCTGCCCTGTATGGTCAGACACCGCCCCTACAGCCAGGCTGGCAGTGGTGAGTGGGCGCCCCGGCCCAGCCAGACAGGCCTACACCTCACCCCCATGTGGTTGGCCTCGATCTGCCCCTGGCACAACCAGAACAGTGTTCCCTAACGAGCCCCATATGTCAACCATGAGGACAATGCCCCAACAAAGAAATGTTGGGACAGCTTCTCCCAGGCCAGTTGGCATCTGGAGCTGTTGAGTGGCACCAGGTATTTCCCATGTCCCAACTCCATGTCACCCCCGGGGGTACCAGGCAGGACGGCGGCCTCCTGACCCCAACATTCTCAGCCTAGTGGCTCCGGTTAGCACCCGTGCAGTCCAGCTGGCCAGCGCCCATCCTGTCAGCGCCCCAGGGCACACTCCTCTGTCTGGGCTGAACCACCTTCCCAGCCAGGGCCAACATTCGGGAACCTGTGTGCTAGGTGGGGATAGGTGTCCTGCCTCCCTCCCCAACCCGAGGAGCAGTGGGATGGGCTGAGCGGTCCCTAGGGCTCTCCTTCCAGGGAGAGGTACCCAGGTAGCTCGGTGACCCCATGTGCGTGGGCCCTGGGTGCGCCCCATCTGACCTTTCTGGAGAGGCCAGGCACCCTGCAGGGACCCTTTGGAGAACAGAGTGGGCTGTGGGGCAGCCAAGTATGGATGATGGTGGGGAGCCCAGGACCTGGAAAGGTCCCTGCTGCCCTGGACGGGGGGCTGGTGGCAACAGGACTCTGAGCAAGTGGAGAGCCAGATCTGGGCGATGTGGAGTGCAGGCCCTGCAGGGCCCTGTGGGCACCAAGGGGTTGTGGTCCAGGGAGGTTTTATCTGAGAAGGACAGTGACAAGAAAGGTCAAGGGAAGGAGGGGGGCTGGTAGACAGAGACAGAGTCTAGGGGTCAGTGTTGCAAGGCTGGGCAGTCATAGAATGGGCTGTGGGAACCCAATTGTGAAACCCTGGGGATGGGGAGGAGGTGTCGCCCGGGGCTATGCGTAGGGCTTAGGGTTGCCATTGCAGGAGGAGGGTGGTCACAGCCCTGTTTGCTGCGCTCACCTTGGCTAGGCACGGTGTCTTGTGGACCCTCAGCTGTGTTGTGCAGTAGAGGTAGGCCAGAGAGGTGCAGTGACCTACTCACGGTTTCCCAGGCAGTCAGGGACAGACACATGCCAGCATGGGTGGCACCAGCTTGTCCAGTAGGCACAGTGCCAGGGGCCTGTGAATGTCTTAAGAAAAAAGTGAATACTATAATGATGAATACAGCCTGGATTATGTTTGTCTTTAAGCCAACAGTCATAAAATATTCTGGGGGGGGGGGTTGGTTTTATTTTCATTTTTTGTAGCGATGCAGTCTCACTCTATCACCCAGGCAGGAGTGCAGTGTCACAATCATAACTCATAGCAGCCTCCAACTCCTGGGCTCAAACAATCCTTGTCTCAGCTTCCCAAGTGGCTGGGACTGCATGCGCACGCCACCATGCCTGCCTGATGTTTAAAATTTTTTGTAGAGATGGGGTCTTGCTGTGTTGCTCAGGCTGGTTTCAAACTCTTGGCTTCAAGCGGTTATCCTGCCTCAGCCTCCCAGAGGAAGGAGAGACAAGGCTGGGATACCTGTGCCCCACCCTCTACCAGTATCCCCTCAGCTTGGGGTGTCCCACAGTCTGGGTTGCCCTCTGTGAGCCTGGCTCAGCTGGTGTCCTGGAAGGCCTCCTGGGCATGGGCTAAACTTCAGCCTACCCAAGTCACTGACAGCCCCTTCCACAGTGTGTCCATTCTGGAGGGTAGGAGTGGTCCCAGGGCCCCCACCCCTAGTCACGTGTCTTCCTGCCCCTCCAGACCCCTGGCCCCAACATGGCCCGTCGCTCCCAGAGCTCCTCGCAGGGGGACAACCCGCTGGCACCCGGGTACCTGCCGCCTCACTACAAAGAGTACTACCGCCTGGCGGTGGATGCACTGGCCGAGGGTGGCTCGGAGGCCTACAGCCACTTCCTGGCGACTGAGGGGGCACCAGACTTCCTGTGCCCTGAAGAGCTGGAACATGTGAGCCGACACCTTCGGCCTCCACAGTATGTTACCCGAGAGCCACCCGAAGGCAGCCTTCTCGACGTGGACATGGATGGCTCCTCAGGTACATACTGGCCAGTGAACTCAGACCAGGCTGTGCCTGAGCTTGACCTGGGCTGGCCTCTGACCTTCGGCTTCCAGGGCACCGAGGTGACCACCTTGGTGCAGCCACCGCCCCCCGACAGCCCCAGCATCAAGGATGAGGCCCGCAGGATGATCCGTTCCGCCCAGCAGGTGCGCCATCTTGGGCTCAAGGGTAGTGGGGAGGGGCCAGGGCTAGAGGCACCAGGGTGGAGGAGACGCATGAGCACGATCAGCTTGGGTGAACCCTGAGCTCCAGCTGGAGCGGGGGTTCCTGGCAACAATCTTCAGGGCCGCCAGGTCTCGATCATCAGGGGCTACAGGCTCTGCACGGGTCTGCTTGCCCATGGTCATGGCCAGTGCCCAGAAATTCAGGGGCTCTGAGATGGGTGGGCACCGCCCCAGCCTGGGTTGATTGTTCAGATAATTACCTCTCATCCTGCCCGGTGGCCCTTGGCCAGCTGAGGGCTTCTAACCCTCACCAAACAGCTAGCAGACGGTGCAGGGTGCATCAGGTCCAGACGCTAAAGGCCCATGACTTTCTCCCCTGCCCATGGCAGCAACCCTGTCCCAGGGCAGAACTGGAGCCTGGGACTCAACCCTGACAGCTGTCCTGGAGTGGGGGCAGCTCAGCCGTCTGTAGGGTGGAGGGGATTTTGAGGTGCCCTTGCCATGCTCCCAGCAGGGCCCCATGCCCCAACCTGGCCCACCCTCGTCCAGGGTTCTCTGCCCTGCACCTGCCTCGGCTCCCTCCTCATGGCCAGCCACTCCACACCTCTTCTCCTTCTGGTCCTGTGGTCCCTTCCTCCTACCCATCTTCCAGATGCGGCCCCACACCCAGGGATGGACTAGCTTGTTTCACAGTGGTTGTGGGTGATCCAGACGCCTCCTGGGTGTGGTGGGGAGGCTGGACAATAGTGTGGGGACAGCAGGGGCCTCTCCTCTCTGTCCTGACCCGCCCCTGCAGGTGGTGGCCGTGGTGATGGACATGTTCACTGATGTGGACCTGCTCAGCGAAGTGCTGGAGGCCGCTGCCCGTCGGGTCCCAGTCTACATCCTGCTGGATGAGATGAACGCGCAGCACTTCCTGGACATGGCCGACAAGTGCCGTGTCAACCTGCACCACGTGGATGTGAGTTCCCGGGAGTGGGAGATTGGGGAGGACCCGTGGCAGAGATCTGACTCCCCTCCCTCCCCAGTTCCTGCGGGTACGGACTGTAGCGGGCCCCACCTACTACTGCCGCACTGGGAAGTCCTTCAAGGGCCACGTCAAGGAGAAGTTCCTGCTGGTGGACTGTGCCGTGGTGATGAGTGGGAGCTACAGGTGCGCCGGCGAGCTTCCCTCACCCCCTTCTCTGGGGCCTCCTGTAGCCCCAGCACCCCCTTTCCACACCAGGGCCCTCCTTGCCAGGAGCCCTTGTCCTGTATCCCTGCGTCCTCCCCGCCCCACCCGATGCCCACGGGGCTGCAGTGCCCTCGCTCCAGCTCGGTTTGACTCTGGCCCTGACCCCCCACAGCTTCATGTGGTCCTTTGAGAAGATCCACCGCAGCCTGGCACACGTGTTCCAAGGAGAGCTGGTCTCCAGCTTCGATGAGGAGTTCCGCATCCTCTTCGCGCAGTCCGAGCCGCTTGTGCCCTCGGCCGCGGCCCTGGCCCGCATGGATGCCTATGCCCTGACTCCGTATGCCGGGGCCGGGCCCCTTGTGGGCGTCCCTGGGGTCGGGGCGCCAACCCCTTTCTCCTTCCCGAAACGAGCGCACCTCCTGTTCCCGCCACCCCGGGAAGAGGGCCTGGGCTTCCCCTCCTTCCTCGACCCGGACCGCCACTTCCTGTCGGCCTTCCGCCGGGAGGAGCCTCCGCGGATGCCGGGGGGCGCGCTGGAGCCGCACGCGGGCCTGCGGCCGCTCTCGCGGCGCCTGGAGGCCGAGGCCGGGCCGGCTGGGGAGCTCGCGGGCGCGCGGGGCTTCTTCCAGGCGCGGCACCTGGAGATGGACGCCTTCAAGCGGCACAGCTTCGCGACGGAGGGCGCAGGCGCCGTGGAGAACTTCGCGGCCGCGCGGCAGGTGTCGCGGCAGACGTTCCTCAGCCACGGCGACGACTTCCGCTTCCAGACCAGCCACTTCCACCGCGACCAGCTCTACCAGCAGCAGTACCAGTGGGACCCGCAGCTCGCCCCGGCGCGCCCGCAGGGCCTGTTCGAGAAGCTTCGCGGGGGCCGCGCGGGTTTCGCGGACCCGGATGACTTCACCTTGGGCGCCGGGCCCCGCTTCCCGGAGCTCGGACCCGACGGGCACCAGCGGCTGGACTACGTGCCGTCCAGCGCGTCCCGCGAGGTGCGCCACGGCTCGGACCCCGCCTTCGGGCCCGGACCCCGCGGCCTGGAGCCCAGCGGGGCCCTGCGCCCCAACCTGACCCAGCGCTCCCCATGCCAGGCCGCGGCAAGGCCCGGCCCAGACTCCACTCCCGAGGCGGAGCCGGAGCGCAGGGGCGGGCCCGAGGGGCGGGCCGGGCTGCGGCGCTGGCGCCTGGCCTCCTACTTGAGCGGATGCCATGGCGAGGATGGGGGCGACGACGGCCTGCCGGCGCCCATGGAAGCGGAGGCTTACGAAGACGACGTGTTGCCTCCCGGGGGCCGGGCAGCTGCCGGCGACCTGCTCCCCTCGGCCTTCCGCGTCCCTGCAGCCTTCCCCACGAAGGTCCCGGTGCCAGGCTCGGGCAGCGGCGGCGGCAACGGCCCAGAGCGCGAGGGCCCGGAGGAGCCCGGCCTGGCCAAGCAGGACTCATTCCGCTCGCGCCTGAACCCCCTGGTCCAGCGCAGCTCCAGGCTGCGCTCCTCGCTCATCTTCAGCACGTCACAGGCTGAGGGTACGGCCGGGACTGCGGCGGCCACAGAGAAGGTGCAGCTGCTGCACAAGGAGCAGACGGTCAGCGAGACGCTGGGGCCCGGCGGTGAGGCCGTGCGCTCCGCGGCTTCCACCAAGGTGGCGGAGCTGCTGGAGAAGTACAAAGGCCCAGCCCGTGATTCCGGCGGTGGCGTGGGCGCCATCACCGTTGCCAACCACAGCAAGACCGTCGTGTCCCAGGCATGGCGGGAAGAGGTGACGGCCCCAGGTGGCGTGGGTGGCGAGCGCCGCAGCCTCGAGAGCTGCCTCCTGGACCTGCGCGACTCCTTTGCGCAGCAACTGCACCAGGAGGCGGAGCGGCAGCCGGGAGCCGCCTCGCTCACCGCGGCGCAGCTGCTCGACACGCTGGGCCGGAGCGGCTCCGACCGCCTGCCCTCCCGCTTCCTCTCTGCCCAGGGCCGCGCAACCTCCCCGGAAGGGCTGGACAGCCCTCTGCCCTTGGAAGGGCCCGGGGCGCACCAGGTGCTCCATAATGAGCCAAAAGGGAGCCCCACCTCAGCTTACCCTGAGCGGAAGGGGAGCCCCACGCCCGGGTTTTCCACTCGAAGAGGAAGTCCAACTACAGGATTTATTGAGCAGAAAGGGAGCCCCACCTCAGCCTACCCCGAGCGCAGGAGCAGTCCGGTGCCACCCGTCCCGGAGCGCAGGGGCAGTCCGGTGCCCCCCGTGCCAGAGCGCAGGGGGAGTCCGGTGCCTCCCGTGCCGGAGCGCAGGGGCAGCCTCACTCTTACCTTCTCCGGGGAGTCCCCGAAGGCCGGGCCCGTGGAGGAGGGGCCGAGCGGCCCCATGGAAGTCCTGCGCAAAGGCTCCCTGCGCCTTAGGCAGCTGCTGAGCCCCAAGGGCGAGCGGCGCATGGAGGATGAGGGTGGCTTCCCAGTGCCGCAGGAGAACGGGCAACCTGAGAGCCCGCGGCGGCTGTCACTGGGCCGGGGTGACAGCACAGAGGCTGCCACAGGAGATGAGCGGGGCCCGCGGGCGCGCCTGACTTCAGCCACGGCCAATGCCTTGTACAGCAGCAACCTTCGGGATGACACGAAGGCCATTCTGGAGCAGATCAGCGCCCACGGCCAGAAGCACCGTGCAGTCCCTGCCTCGGGCCCTGGCCCGGCCCACAGCAGCCCCGAGCTAGGCCGTCCACCGGCTGCTGGCGGCCTGGCCCCGGATATGTCCGACAAGGACAAGTGTTCAGCCATTTTCCGCTCGGACAGCCTGGGGACCCAGGGCCGGCTGAGCCGCACGCTGCCAGCCAGCGCGGAGGAGCGTGATCGGCTGCTGCGCCGCATGGAGAGCATGCGCAAGGAGAAGCGCGTGTACAGCCGCTTTGAGGTCTTTTGCAAGAAAGAGGAGGCCAGCGGCCCTGGGGCAGGGGAAGGCCCCGCGGAGGAGGGCACCAGGGACAGCAAGGTGGGCAAGTTCGTGCCCAAGATCCTGGGCACGTTCAAAGGCAAGAAGTGAGTCTCCTGACATCGCTGCCACGGTCACCCAGAGCCCCCACGGAACAGAGAGCCCTGCGCATGTGTTTGAGCAGAGGCTGTCAGGCCACGGCCACTTGGGACTTGGCTGAGTGCGCCAGACCTCAGCTCCACTGGAGGCTCACCTGGCAGCTGCTGTCTCTGCCCCTGGCCTCCACAACGCTGGGGCTCCAGCCCCTTGCCACCAGTGCCTTTCTCCCCTCAGCACCTTCTCTCTTCAGCACCTTCTCTGCACCGTCAGCCTTGCGTGGCGCAGCATCTGGCTCCGCCATCTCTTTGTGCCTCAGTCCCGCCCCACCTGTTTTGTTTTGTTTTTGTTTTTGTTTTTTTTTTTGAGACCCAGGGCTGGAATGCAGTTGAGTGGTCTCGGCTCACTGCAACCTCTGCCTCCTGGGTTCCTGCGATTCTCCTGCCTCAGCCTCCTGAGTAGCTGGGATTACAGGTGCCTGCCACCACGCCCAGGTAATTTTTGTATTTTTAGTAGAGACAGGGTTTCACTATGTTGGCCAGGCTGGTCTCCAGCTCCTGGCCTCAAATGATCTGCCCGCCCCAGCCTCCCAAAGTGGGGGATTATAGGCACGAGCCGCACACACATCCTCTTGCAAGGGCCTCACCTCTGTGCCTCAGTTCCTCATTCTCTGGGCCCTTTTCCTCCTCAGGGCCTCCTGTTCTCAGGGCCTCTCCCCTCCCTCCCTCCCTCCCTCCCTCCCTCCCTCCTCCCTCTCTCAGGGTCTTCTCCCTTCCTCCCCGCCCCCACCCCTGCCCAGGGTCTCCCCCGTCCTCAGGGCTTCACTTCCTTTTCTACTTGTATTCTCTGGCTCGCTGCCTCCCAGCATCTTTCTTGGAGGCCCGTCGTCTTGCTGTGGGGGAAGACTGGGCTGGCTGTGGGCAGTTTGCAAGGTGGGGGGGGGGGCATGAAGCTGGACCAGAAGATGCCCCTTGGAGTGGCAAGGAAGCTGGACAAGGCAGGCCACTGGGAAGGGGGTGCAGGGAAGCCCAAAGGTCCGCCTTGGCCAGGTCTGCCGTCTCCTCCAGCAAGGCTCTAGCCAGCACTGGGTGAGAGTGGGAGGGGCACTGGGCTTTGCAGCACAATAAAACATGGTCTGGACAACCTGTAGCCCTGGCCTCGTGAGCACCCCCTGCACAGGCCCAGCCCAAGCCAGGTGCCAGAAGGTCCGGATTTGGGGGGGCTTATCCTTGACAGGTATGGGACCAGGTGAGGGCAGGGGACAAGGTGCAGCCCAGGCCAAGCCCAGCTGTTTAGACATAGGTCCTGGACACCCCTGTAGGTGGGAGTGGTCCTTGCCCTCCTAGTGTCCAGCAGACAACCCCCTCCAACCCCATTCTCAGGTCCTTTCCTCTTTGTCACCAACACTAAGAATTTGTCTAGAGTTCCTGGGTTATCTTGTATCTCTTTTCACCCCCAGAGAGGAATTGCAGTTGACTCAGAATGACACATTTTGGCACCACATGTGTAGAACATCCCCCACTGTTAGATGCTAGCCTTGTGAAATTCATGTTTCTGTATTCTCTTTCTTTTCAAAAAATAATTTTTTTAGTGTAATAAATCCTAAGAGGGAACTGATTTAAGAAACAAGGCCACCAAACAAAGGCAGCAGTTCTGACTCCAGCAGCTGGGAGAGAAAGGGAAGTGACCCCACTCTCACTGCTGGACAGCCCACTGGTGACCAAAGCCACCACCCACGTAGGGATGACAGCAGGGACTTCTGGCCAGGAGGCAAAGGTGCCTGGAAGTGGGATGCACCTGAGTGTCTCTTGGCCATGATGTTCTTGTGGGCACATCTGTGTGTGTGCTGCCTGGGGTGTCGCTGAGCGGACAGGCTCTCCAGCTGGAGCCCATGGAGAGGCCAGAGGCTGGCGGCCCTGCCTGGGCCTTTGGAGCCTCCTGCCTGTACCCCCCACATCCTCTAAACCATGATGCAGCACATTTCGGTGTTAATAAAACATAACACACAAAATATTCTAGCACGTTCCCCAGTGTGTATAATCTCCCAGTTATTTCCTGCAGCCTTTAACCATGTGGGCTCCTGGATTTCCCCTGTGGACCCACCACCCAGCCCTGTAGGGGGGCACTAAAGACCCCCCAGCTCCACTTCCAAGGCCCACCTTGGCTCCTCCGACTTCATGCTGCTCTCCTGTCCCTGTCCCCGATGCCCCCTGTGCAGGCACACTCCTGAGTGCCCACCTGCGATTCCCCATTCAGCAGCCCTACCACACACTGCCCAGCCTGAGGCCAAGCCTCCAGCCCTGCAGCCCCCTGGCCTCTCTGCAGCGTCCTCTCCCACAGCTTCTTGGTCCTGCTTGTTCAGCACCCTAGGCCTTCAGCACCCAAGCAGCCCCCTTGGGAAACAAACCCCTGGGCTGGGTCTCTGACTGGCTCACCACTTCCTCGGGCCCTCCCGCTCCCTCCTCCGCCGCCTCCAACCTTCTCCCAAGCCCAGCCTCCCTGAGTCTCTTGCAGGTGCCTGGCCTAGCACCAGGGCAGCGCTAGCTCCCACCCTCTGCTCAGCTTCCCCACCCACATCTTGTCCTTCCCCACCCTCCCGCATGGTGGCAATGGCTTCCACAACCCAGAGGCGTTCCTACTCCTGGCAGCCCAACCCCCGACCACAGCACAGGCTGCGCCCTTCTGACTGTGAGCTCCTCCCAGCCTGCGAACTTTCCAGCTGCCTCCCTGTGTTCCAGCCCCAACCCAGGGGCAGGTGCAGCTGAGGACACCTGGCACCCTAGGACACAGCTTTGTGCCCACAGGGCCCCTTTGATCTCTGCAGCCCTGCACAGCCCTGGCCTGAACTCATACCAGGGCCTTTGCCTGGGGGTGACAAGAGGAGGTAACCCTGACCTCACGAGATGTCTGTCTCCCACCCTCACCTACAGAGACCTGAAGACAGATCAGGCGCAGTGGCTGTACTGGGGGAGCGCAGGCTGCAATCCCTGACAGCAGGGGAGGGGTGAGGCTGCCCCCTTCTTTCTCCCCTTCTCTCCTCTGGCTCAGAGTCACAAACATGGCCATGAGGTGACCCTAGGTCCCTACCCCACAGGACCACCCTGAGGGGCAGCCTGGACCCTGAAGCCACAGCAGGTAGGAAAATGATGGACCAAGGACAGGAAGCTGCCCCAGGCAAACCTAGAGGGAAAAGCCCAGTGCTGGATGTGGAGTGGGCAGGGCCTCTAGTGGGGCGGGTGGCACTGAGCTCTGGGGTGGAGGTTTCAGGACAGGGGCGGTGGGGTCCTCAGAGGAGTGGAGGCTCCAGGAAAGGGGTCGGGGCCCCCAGCTAGTGGATGCTGTGACCTCAGAGGGGAGGGGAGGAACGATGGCTGCTCAGATTGGGGGCAGACATGACTTTATTGGAGGAAGTCACTGGGGCTGGGGCAGGGCCCTCATCTGCTCCCCCGAGGAGACCCAGGCGAGCTCCCTGGAACTTCAACGTGGCCTGGCAAAGCAGGGAGGGCTAAGGGGTGCAGGATATCGGGGAGGGGTCTGGGGAAGGGGCCGGGGCAGGAACAGGGGGCCAGGTGAAGGGAGTAGGGCAGCTCATACACGGTGCCTCTCCAGCAGGGGCAGGTGGCCCAGTGCCGAGTGGCAGACAGTCCCATAGGCTTGGGAGTAGCCTCCAAGCAGAGCCCTGGCGGCCCCCTGGGCACCCTGCAAGGCAGAGGTGCTGAACATCCTCCGGCCGGGCCGGGCCTCCGGAGGACACCGGGGAGGGACCTGTGTATAGTTGAGGGTCACATGAAGAGGGTGTCAGAGGGGGTGCAGTGGAGGGGAGGCCTTGAGGTCCTCGAGAGATTTGAACTGGACATTGGAGGGGCAATGGGAAGGATGGGGAAGGGAGGGAAAAGGAGGGGAAGAGGAGGATGAGGGGACGGGGGCAGACTGGGCCGGGCTCACCTGTTGTGTGCTGGCCACCCTCACCCCACCACCCCGGTTCCAGTCACCCCGGATCAGAGCCTGGTTGGCCACCTGAGCTGCAGCCTGTGAGGTCAGGGAAGGCGCAGCTCCCCTCCGGCCTGGCTTCTCCTGGGGAGGGCCATGTCACATGGTCACAGAAAGGTGCAGAGGAAGGGTCCCTCTTGTGCCCACCCCACCATGACTTACCAGCAAGAATGTCAAGGGGGGCTCTTCCTTCGCCCCGGGGGGCCTTTCCCCACTCCCTGGGAGTGCAGGTTGGAGCGTGGGAGCGGAGTTCTGCCTGGGAGTGCTCTTGGCTGCACGGGGGAACTCTGTGGAGTCAGAAAGTCAACCCCAGAGTCAGGAACCCGATGCTGCGCACAGTTGGCAGCCACAGGCAGAAGGGGCCCGGGCCATGCTCTGTGTGGGTAGTGTGGGTAGCCAGCAAAGATCACACACCGTGCTCGGGGGGGTCATGGCTCGGGCTACTCTGAGGCCTGGGTCTGGGGCCCTGCACAGGTGTCCCAGAAGGCAGCTTCGGGTCAGCTCTGGGTTTGTGCAGGTGTGCCTGGGACGGGGAGACACCCTCCAGGCCCTTCTCTCTTGAGGTGCCGTTGCTGCCTTTGCACTCCAGGATCATCTGCAAGAGGAGAAGGGTGCTCAGAGGGCACAGCCTGGGTGGGCATGGGTGTTTGGGGGTCTCTAACGTCGGAGGCAGCCTCCAGGGTGCAGTAGACAGGGGATGATGGGGGTCGCGAGCTGGAGCACCTGATAGACGCGGCTGCGGTACTCAGGCGCAGAGAGCTGGACCCCTTCGCGTGCCCGGAGCTGCACATGTTCCTTTCGTGCCCACTCATCACTGGGGCAGTGGAACCTGCAGGGAGCCAGAGAGGTGAGGCCTGGGCTGTGGCCAAGGGAGCCCCTCAAGCTGTCATTGCAGGGTCCGTGCTTCGGGGGCTCTCCCTCATGGGCTGGCTCTCTCCTGCCCCCACCTCTGTCCCCCGCACTTAGGGGACTCTCTCCCACTCCCACCTCTGCACGTAGGGGTGCTGCAGTGCCTGGGTGGCGCTTAACCGCTTGTCTGGGGTGAACACCAGGAGTCGCCTGAGGAGGTCCAAGGCCTCTGGGGAAGTGTCTGGCGGTAGGAGGGCGTCCAGCGTCTGTCGTGGCCTGTGGGCTGCCGTGTGTCGTATCCAGGGCCCGACCCAAGGGCCCCTCCTCAGATCCACATTCATGGGTGGGGCTTAGCTTTGAAACTGGGGTCCACCCTGCTGTCCTGTCTAGGTAGATGCCCCTGTGCCTGACCTGCACAGTGGAGAGACCCCTGCAGCCCCCTGGTGCCCTCCTCTCCACACCTAGCACAGCTCCTCCGGGCCACCCTCTAGGACCACCACCAGGGGCTCCTGCTTTCAGAGTGGCCAACAGTTGTTGGGTTGGGGACTGCCATCATGAAAGCAGGTGGAATCTGAACTGGTACAAATTGGACCCAGTAACCTTGCAGGAAGGTGGCCCTGCTCCCTTGAGACAGGCCACCCTCTCACCCTCACCGAAGTGCCCCCACTCACCGGGACCCCAGGCAGTGCAGCACAGAGGCACGGCAGCCTGAGCCAAGAGCCAGGAGGTCTGGGGCAGCAGAAGGTGGTGTGACCCAGGCAGGCCTGGTAGACTGGGGCGTCTCAGGGTATCTGGGGCCAGCCGTCTCTTCCAGCCCCAGGGAGCACAGCCTCTCTACAGGGTTTCTGCTGTCTGGCAGGGCTCAAACACCCCATCGCCAGGGTGTGCCACCCAGCCTGTGCACGGGAGCACCCGCTCACAACCCCTGCTCCACACTCTGGCACCTGGCCCTGGGGCGTGCTCACACAGGTGGACACTGGCACCCACCTCCACGGATGAGGAGGCTCCACCCGGACAAGCAGATGTACCTGGGAGTGCAGCTCCCTCTTGCCCCCACCCTCAAGAGTGACCCCCATGGCCCCACTACCACTGCCTTCCTCCACCTCTTCCCCTAGCACCTGAATCTCTCCTGCCCAGCTCTCTGTGCACACCCCAGCTCCCGGCACAGTGACAGTCCCTGCCCCTGCTACCTGAATCCCTCGGGGAACTTGTCCAGCGTGCTGGCCCCTTCATGGTCACTGCTTGGCTCTCATGGTGACTGTGCCAGGTGCTGCCTACCCACATCCCCCCGCCAGCAGCTCTTCCTGGGCCTCCATCACCAGTTGGTCTTCCTGGGGTTCCTGCCTCATCCTCTGGATCCTCCCTGTCCCCGTCCCTCCTCTCAGCACAGTCCTAGCCTGTCAGCTGCTGTCTCCCCACAGCTGTGCTATCTGACCTGCAGCATTCCCGGTGCCCAGCCCCAGCCACCTGGCTCACCCTCCTTGGATGGTGGTGGGATGGTCTCCAGGATGAGCTCCAGCTGGTGGAGGGTGGACGTGCCCGGAAACAGGGGCCTCCCCCGCAGCATCTCCCCCAGGATACAGCCCAGACTCCACATGTCCACCCCAAGGGTGTACCTGGGGCACGAAAGGGTGTAGGCACGGAGAGACCCAGAGGCAGAAGTGGGGGTGGGGTTGCTAGGGGGGTGAATGGGGGACACTTGTGGACCAAGGCAGGGTGGGAGTACAGGAGGCCTGGGAGCCCTGGCTGGGCAGGAGGGCAGCAGGGAGGTGGAGGGTGGGTTGGGGGTGTCCGGCTGTTACCGGTGTGAAGACAGCAGCACCTCCGGAGCTCGGTACCAGCGTGTGGCCACGTACTCTGTCAAGGCCTGGTCTTCAGGCCCCTCAGGGAGGTCGCCCAGGGAGCGGGCCAGACCAAAGTCACACAGCTTCACTGTGCAGTTGGCATCCAGGAGCACATTGGACGGCTGCAGAGAGGAGGCAGGCTGAGGCCCTGGGGCTGGGTGGGGCCAGGAGCTGGGCCACGTGGCCTAGCAGGGGGCTGGAGGCGGGGGCACCACACCTTCTGGTCCCGGTGCACAACATGCCCCGAGTGGAGGAACCGGGTGGCCTGCAGAAGCTGGTAGAAGATGGAGCGCACGTGGACGTCCTGCAGCAGCCCGCCCTTCCGGATGACTGCGTTGAGGTCAGTGTCTGCGGAGAGGGGGTGGGGGGGTGGGGGGGCAACCTGGGGGGAGTGGGAGAGGGGCACCTGGCAGGTCTGTCCCATTTTGAACCAGCCCACGGCCTGGCCGCCCCGCTTCTCCATCCTGCGCACTGCCTGTGGGCACAGCGGTGGGGTCTGCAGGAGTTTTCATACTTTATTTCACGTTGCCTTTGTTTCATAAAATAAGGAAAAGGAGAACACAACTGCAAACTGTGGTCGGAGCAGGAGCCTGGGGCAGGTGGGACGAAGGGGGTCGCTGCTGGCTCTGGAGGCTGACACTGGTCAGCTGTCTGTCCCTGAGTCCAGGGTACAGGGTGAGGGAGCAAGCCACTGTGGGCCGGCCGCAGAGGGACACGCAGAGGGCGTAAGGACAGGACAGAGGTGGGGCTGGGGCCCTGGCCGAGGCCTCACTCACCCATAAACTCAAACACCAGGTAAATGTCCCTATCGTTCTCTGCCTGGATCACATCAAGGAGGCTGATGATATTGGGATGATCCCCAAACTCCTGGGGAGAGAGTTGGAGGTGGCTGGAAGGCCAGGAGGAGCTGTGTTCTGGGGGCCAAGAAGCCGGGTTTCTCTGCTGTCTGGAGAGATCTTTACCTGGGGAAGGGGACTGGGCTGGAGGGCCCAGGCCACTCACCTGGAGAAGCATGATTTCCCGGAATGTTCTCTGAAGAGACAGAAACACAGGTGTGTGGGTGGGCGGAGCAAGAAGGAAGCCCCTGTCCTGAGAGGACCCAAAGGAGCTGATGTCTGTCACCCAATGCCCACCAGACCAGGCGTGGCAAGAGGGCAGTGTTCTGAGACAGGCCAGAACATCTGCTATGACCGGGCTCCAGCTCCCACCGGAGCTTCCAGGCACCAGGGCAAGGGGCTGCCCCTCCCACCCCCCATCCTCTCCTGCACTTCTCCCCACACACTCACCTGGGCATCTGTCTTATCCCTAAAAGCATCAAAGATTTTCTTGATGGCCACGACCTCACCAGTCCTTCGGTCCACTGCCTTCCACACAATGCCGTAGGCCTGGGAAGGAGTGCTGTCACACAGGGCCAGGCCCTTGCCCCGCCATCCCCTACCCACCCAGATTGTCCCTACAGACATGAGGCTCCTCCTTCCCATCCTGGGTCCCGAGAGGGGATGGAGTGTGGGCTTCTGCAACTGCAGGCTGCCCTAGACTCCGACATCTTCCAGAGGAGGGAGGTAGAGCGGAGGGAGGGTGAGAGCTGGCGAGGCCCCGGAGGAAAGGAGGCCACAGAGGGGAGCGTCTGGGCAGGAAATGAAGCTGGGGGATGCCCTACCATCCCTCCAGCCGCCCAGGCGCTCTCCCTCCCTTTCTCTCACACCTCATCTATCCCCAATCCTCTTGGCCCCACCTTCAGATTCCTCCAGAATCTAGCCCTTGCCACTGTCTCCTCTGCCCCCATCCTGGTCCCAGCCTCTGACGTCTCTCACTGGGTGGCTATGCTAACCCCTTAACTCACCTCTGTCTGCCACTCCTGTGCACACCCATAGTGGGTCCTCAACATAGGAGTGGGCCTTGTAAAGTGACACCAGCAGCTGCTACAGCTCCCCGTGTCAGCAACAGTAAAAACCAAAGTCTGGGAAGTTCCCCAAAGCCCCTACACGACTGGACCCTCACCACTCACCTGTCTCTCTCCGTCTCCTATCCAGTGGCACACACAACCCTGCACTGGGGCTACGCACTTGCTCTCTGCACTGCCTGGAAGGCTCTCCCTCCCCTCCCTATGGCAGCCTGGAACACCCCCCACCCGCCCACGCACACACACACAGGCCCACATGCTCACACACGCACACGGATACAGAAGGCTCTGGCCTTCGTTCTGCGCCCACCCCATACCCAGTCAGGCCCTTCTCGGGCCTTGCCCTTGTGCTCTTGAGCCTGGGGTCCGCCCTCCCTCTCAGTGACCCAGGCGCGGGCCCCAGCCTCCCCAGAGCGTCCTGTGCCCCCGGGAAGCGGCGACTGTGGGCGCGTGGGGAGCGGGGCGCCAGGATCCCTCCGCCTGAGGCCGCTGGGGGCCCTGGATGTCACCTGCCTCCAGGAGCCAGGTTCCTGGGAGTCGGGATCGTGTTACCCCATGAGGAAACTGAGGCACCAAGGGGCTCCAGATCACCCCTCCTGCCTACGGAGGAGGCAGGACGCCAGTGTGTGACGGAACAGGCCTCCGAGGGGACCGGCCACGCCCCGCAGGTCCTCTCTCCGCAGATCTGAGGTGCCCCTCGGGGGGCGGACGCACCACCAGGCACTCACCCCTTGCCCGAGCTGCCGCCTGAGTAGGTATCTCCGGACGATGCGAGGGTCCACTGCGCTGCACATGGCGGCCAGGACGCCCGCGGGGCCTTACTGTGGAGTCGGTTGCCGCGGGAACCGACGCCGGCCCGGCCCCGCCCCTCGGGGCACTCTCCCAACACCCCCCTTCCCACACCCCGGCAGCCCCGGCTCCGCCCCACAGTGGGCCCCCCACCTCCTTCCCAGGCCCGGCCCCGCCCCACAGTGGCCGCCCTCTGTGACCGCCCCTCTGTGAGCCCGCCCCTCTGTGCGCCCCGCCCCTCTGTGCGCTCCGCTCCACAGTGCGCCCCGCCCCTCTGTGCGCCCCGCCCCTCTGTGCGACCCGCCAGCCTCCTCGCAGAACCACGCCCAGCTCGGTTGACTAAAGTAGAAATCGTAACAATCTGTTGTGAACTCTATAACTTGTAGAAGTAAAATGCATGACACCAATAGCAAAAGTGAAGGGGAATAATGGAAATACACATTTATACTGTTACAGAATAACATGAGAATCTATATTGTAAGGTTCTTAAGTTACATGTGAAGTATTAATAGTATAATATTATTTGGGCAGGGCACGGTGGCTCACGCCTGTAATCCCAAAACTTTGGGAGGCCGAGGCGGGCGGATCACCGGAGGTCAGGAGTTCAAGACCAGCCTGGCCAACGTGGTGAAACCCCGTCTCCACTCAAAATACAAAAATTAGACGAGCGTGGTGGCGCGCTTGTAATTCCACCTACTCGGGAGGCTAAGGCAGGATAATCGCTTGAATTCGGAAGGCGGAGGTTGCAGTGAGCCCAGATCGAGTCACTGCACTCCAGCCTGGGTGACAGAAAGAGACTCAGTCACAAAAATAAATAAAATAAAATAAAAATAGATAAGACCAGCAGAAAACAAATAGCAGGACCGGGTGGGTGGCTCATACCTATAATCTAGCACTTTGGGAGGCCGAGCGGGTGGATCATGAGATCAGGAGATCGAGACCATCCTGGCCAACATGGTGAAACCTCATCTCTATTAAAAATACAAAAAAATGGCCGGGCGCGGTTGGCTCAAGCCTGTAATCCCAGCACTTTTGGAGGCCGAGACGGGCAGATCACGAGGTCAGGAGATCGAGACCAACCTGGCTAACATGGTGAAACCCCCGTCTTACTAAAGAAATACAAAAAACTAGCCGGGCGAGGGTGGCGGGCGCCTGTAGTCCCAGCTACTCGGGAGGCCTGAGGCTGGAGAGAATGGCGTGAACCCGGGAGGCGGAGCTTGCAGTGAGCTGAGATCCGGCCACTGCCCCGCCTGGGCTACAGAGCGAGACTCCGTCTCAAAAAAAAAAAAAAAAAAAAAAAAAAAAGAGATCGAGGACCATGCCTGGCTAACACGGTAAACCCCGTCTCTACTAAAAAATACAAACAACTAGCCGACGAGGTGCGGGCGCCTGTAGTCCCAGCTACTCGGGAGGCTGAGCAGGAGAATGGCGTGAACCCGGGAGGTGGAGCTTGCAGTGAGCTGAGATCCGGCCACGCACTCCAGCCGGGCGACAGAGCGAGACTCTGTCTCAAAAAAAAAAAAAAAAAAAAACCAAAAAATTAGCTGGGCGTGGTGGCGCGATGCCTGTAGTCCCAGCTGTTTGGGAGGCTAAGGTAGGAGAATCACTGTGAACTTAGGAGGCGGAGGTTGCGATGAGCCAAGAATCGCCCTACTGAACTCCACCTGCAACAGAATGAGACTCCTTCCAAAAAAAAGAAAAGACCGTGCAGTGACTCACGCTTGTAATCTCAGCACTTTGGGAGGCCAGGCAGGTGGATCACAAGAGTTTAGGACTAGCCTGGCCAATATGGTGAAACCTTGTTTCTACTAAAAAATAGAAAAATTAGCTGGCACATCGTGGCGTGCGTCCGTGAATCCCAGCTACTAGGGAGGCTGAGGCAGGAGAATTGCTTGAACCCAGGAGGCAGTGGTTGCAGTGAGCCGAGATTGCACCACTGCACTCCAGCCTGGGCGACACAGTAAGACTCCGTCTCAAGAACAAAAAAAAAAAAAAAAAGATGGCTGACTTAAAACTTACCATTTTG